ACATGCAATTGACGTGTTGGACGACCTGGCGGAAGCCATGAAGGCGTTGGACGGAAAAAAAGGATAGTTGCACGATCTCAGCGAGCTATGAAGTCAGTCAAGCACAGAAAGGTCTGTTGCTATTGCCCCTCCGAAAAAGGATCCAGCTCGTCTTCAAAAGAGCATTCTGCCAATCTACTGGACCCTACTCACGAAGATGTCCTGAAGCATTAAGGCTGATGACAGACAAAGCACACGTGAGAGGACCCTGAGGCCCCTGAGCGCCGGTAGTTTCTCTTTTGTTTCGCCTTAGATCCGTTTTCACACCACGTTGCACCAGTTTCTATTTCTAGTTTCAACATGCCACATGACAGCGTCATTGCTGGCTTTTGGATTGTTTCCATGTGTCTGTGAGAATGTTGCCCGTGCTCGCACTCTGTGATCTTGAGGCTCCTGGCTGGGAGGGAGCCTTGGTTTCCGCAAGTGTTGTTGCTTCTTGTCACAGATTACTATGTGACATTTTTGTGGTTTTGTTGCTCCGCTCCTTTCCCTGAGGTTTGGTTGCAGTCTCGATTTCTTCACTGTAACTTGGCACAATGTCAGCTGGGCAATTGATTTGGCCATGCGGTGCAGCGCAGCTTGTTCCATTTCAGATATGTCGGCGCAGGCTGTGCCAATTGGACAGCTGTAGCACCAGTTGGTGTAGGCAGTGGGCTGCTTTGGTGTCGGGTCTTCCACGTTGGTTTCTTTTGTCATGTTTTCCTTCAATTTCTCGGCTTGAGGCCCTCGAAACATGTCTCGAAGCCTGCCTCGAAAGCTTGCTCTGAGGTATTTTTGTTCTAATTTCCATGGTCTCGCGGCACTACTGGAGTCGAGACTTGCATCGAGGCCTGCCTTCAACTTTGTTTCATCTTGCAAACTTTTTGTTTTGCTGCAATTTCCATCAACTTGAAGCCTCGAGACTTGTCTTGAGGCTGTCCCTCTGCCCCAGCCGCGGCCTAAAATTCTTGCAAGGCAGCACAGTTGCCAATTACTTCAAGTTCAACCTTGCTGGCAATAATTATATGGTGATGCTGGGATGGGTGGGATAGTGGGATTCTGGTAACATGCTTATTAGTATTTGAACTCTGGTTATATTATTGGTTTCAAGTCCCCGTAAGCCTCTGTCTTTGTGCCAATACAAGGCGATCTCGTCGCGTAGTGGTATAATGCCCGTCTCAGGACCGTGCATAGACAGCTAGCCGCGGTGCGATTCCCCCCGGGTACGGGGCCGCGATCGTGACGTGGTAGACGAGTAAGTCTCAAGTACCGTAGACCCGCCGAAAGGCAACGGGCTCGGGCCAAAAAAAAATCTGTCCTTGTGCCAATGATAGATAGGGGTCCTAGGGAATGGGGGGAAAGAAAAGAATATCGTTTAGTCCTTAAGAAGCAAGGCCCCCGCCATTATGAGAGCAATGAGGGAGTAGGAAGGGGGGGCCAAAAGTAAGCGGGCTGGCAATTTAGGCGACGCTGGGAGAGACTATAAGTAAAGACCGTCGAACAGGTTTGTCGTTTTGCGTCCCCACGAGGCCTCTTTCATCAAAAGAACAGAAAGGGAAAGATTGTCATGACCAAGACAAGCAGGTACAAGGGGCTAGTTTTGAGTTCGTTTTTGGCACCTGAAATTGATATGATTTTTGGAGACGTAGTTGGGGCCTCCCTTGTATCACCCTTCTGTCAATTACTGACGTTACAACTGGCCAGCCGTTCACTTTGCCTTGTTTTTTGTTTTGTTTGTGTGTGGTTGTTGTTTTGCTGGTTGGCTTTTTTCCTTGTTTGGTTCCCCTGGCATTGTGACGGCTTTCGGGACTGTGTACTGGTCCTGTGTCAGAACTTTTGCAGCCCACCTTTCACGAAGATGGACAACGTCACTGCTTTAATTAATGAATTAACCGATATACAACATGCAATCTAGCGTGGAGAACGACCTGGCGGAAGCCAAGAGGCGTTGGACGGAAAAAAACAAACACAGACAAAAAAGACAAAGGCAAAGTGAACGGCTGGCCAGTTCCGCAAGGTCAGTAGCTGAAAGAAGGGTGATAACATTGTATCATCCATAGTATTGGTGTGGCGGAAGAAACAGTAAAAAAGGGGACCCAAACACAAACATCGCCAGACTCGAGATCTGTGAGCAAAAAAACAACACAGCACCATGCGGAAACCAGGGCTCCCCCCAGCCAGGAGCCCCGAGATCACACAGAGCAAGCCGCTCGGGCATCAAAACTCACAGAGTTGAGACAATCCAGAAGCTAGCAATGACCCAGCCATCAATGGAAAGGTGAAACTAAAAAGTGAAACAGAGTGTGAACCAGAACTACATATGGTGAAAAGAGATGGACGCGCATCTACCGCAGCTCTCAGGGTCCACTCAGATTCCGCTCAGAAGTTCTTTTCCAAGCATCATCATCATTGGGGAGTTACCTAGTGCTCCTGGAGTTGATTGAATGAGTTTGCTCTTTCATATCAGTTTGCAATGATAACAGTGCATAGAATTCTTCCACTGTGGGGATTCATGTGCTGTTGCATTTCTGTGCATTGGCAACCACGATGCTGGAGCAGTGAGAGGAGGCAAGCGATCTCTGTTGTGCATACTGCTTTCAAAACTGTATGCAATGCGATCGAGTTAGCGATGATCGCTAGCTCGACAGCATTGATACAGGCTTGCAAGCGTTGAGCTTCTTCAACAAGACTAGTGAAGCAATCGAAATGTTCGGCAGAGGTTCTGGAAGGACAGCTTGTGTCAGCCGTGCGAAGGTCTTCAGTAGGGTATGGCTGCACTCTCGTTTGCATGAGCTGTATTTGCTGGTCTATAACTGCACGCTCCGTTGTGTTGCTGTAGCTCGGGCTTCTACTCGGATGCGTAGACGGTTTAAGCAAAGACAAGCCGTGCGCAATGCCCGAAGGTCTTGCTCACTGATGATGCCTGGCAGAAGTTCTGTTCGCTGCAGTGAGGTACAGGTTTCTTCCAGAATCCGCTGGGTATGAGAAAGATACAAACAGAGTCTTGGAGAAGAAGGAGATTCTGTGCTTCACTTCGACTCTGCGGTTCTTGAGACGGGTTTGCTGGCTCACCTGGTTTTGCTGTATCCATGCGCTGCATGTCTGCGCTTGGGTGGCCGGCTCTGTTGGTCTGCAGGCTGAGCAAAACAGCGACGGGTACCATGGCTGCTGGATGTACTTTGACATCGTCCTACGCTACCAACTACTAGTTTTGATTACTAGTTTTTCACTCCCCTCCCCCCTAAACCCCTCAATATTGGGTCACAGGTAACGAATCACAAGATCCACTCATGGAAGGAGTGGTGGTCCACAAGGTGGACATTGCACGCTAACATCTAGTTGGGATGCCAACCAGTCATGGGTCACCCATGTTGGTTAGCGTAATATTACAATTTGCCACTTATGACCGGCAGTTGCAATATTTTTCACACCGCTTGCTGGGCCACTGACAATAACAGTACAGTTTCAATGTGCATGATTTTGACGACACGGTGGGACCTCCCCCTGTGTCAATGGCAAATCTGGTGCTTTTTGTGCTTTTTGTGTGGGTGTTTTGTTTGGGCCCCCCCGTTCCTTGTTTTGCTTCGCTGTTGTTTCTCTTTGGCGAAACGCAAATCTGGCCGGGGGATTTGCGTGTCGTCGGTTTTGGTGCTTTGTGGTGTTGTTTTTGTTTGATGATTTGCCTTTTTCTTATGAAACCAAGGCGTTTCATGCTGAATTTTCTAATTTGTTTACTCGCTTATCCCAATGTTAGGACCGAGCCTCAGAGCGAAATCGGCCACAACAGAGGGAAAAAAAAAGGGTCACCCATGTTGGTTAGCTTTTCGCGGTGAGCTTTCTACTGTGGCAGTGTGGCAGCAGTGAGTGTCGTTTGAGGATAGAACTAGTCGTGGGTCACCCATGCTCATTGGGTTGGGTTGACCGCACATCCGGGTTGACCATAGAAAGATTGCAAACATAGACTTGGAGAAGAAGGAGATTTTGTGCTTCACTGCGACTCTGCGGTTCTTGAGACAGGTGTGCTGGCTCACTGGTTTAGCTGTATCCATGCGTGGCTGGCTCTGTGGTCTGCAGGCTGAGCAAAACAGCGACGGGTACCATGGCTGGATGTACTTTGACATTACCAACTACTAGTTTTGATACTAGTTTTTCACTCCCCACCCCCTAAACCCCTTTATTTTTGGTCACAGGTAACAACTCACAAGATCCACTCACGGAAGGAGTGGTGGTCCACAAGGTGGACATTGCACGCTAACATCCAGTTGGGAGCCAACCAGTCATGGGTCACCCATGTTGGTTAGTTCTTACGCGGTGAGCTTTCTACTGTGGCAGTGTGGCAGCAGTGAGCGTAGTCAGAGGATAGAACCAGTTCGTGGGTCACCCACGTTGGCAATATCCGGCTTCTTATACAATTTCACTGAAATCTGTCTTGCTGCTCATTGGGTTGTGTTGATCTTTGTGTGCGGCTGCCGCCGCTGGATGAGGAGGCTGTTGCAAACTCGGAGATGGGCAAGTCATCCCGCACATCCGGATTGACCATGTGCGATGACCGGGTGCGACTGCTTATCTTTCAGAATCCGCATGATTTCTGGAATTAGCGTGTGTAAGTCATCGACGAGGGCCTTTGCAGCTGCCAAGTTGCGTCTCACTTTAGTGATGAGCCCTTATAAAACCTAGTCTACAGGTGGGAAGCCACCGTCCTCTCTTCCTCCACGCGTGCGCCTCGCGTCCCTGCGTTTCGCGCTTTGGAAGTTTAAGGTATTGACCTCTTAACTCCCAAACTTGTTTAAGTTGCTGTTGCAAACAAACTGTCAAAACAAACCTCACTGTTTTGATCCTTTTGTGGATCTCTGTTTTGTTGAACAGTTTTTTGACATCCGTCTTTTTAAGTTTCAAGGGTGGGTGGGTGGGACAAAGTCTCACTTCCCGGAGGCTGAATGGGGGTAGTGAGACTTTCGAGACTTTTGAGTCTCCTTTTTGCCATGGATCTTGTGATACATGCGGCTGCTTTTGGACTTGGAGTGAAACGGGCGGACATTAAGATGCCCTGGGAACGTGAACGCATCAATCCTGTTTTTGCAAAGAAACCACGTCTGATTCAGCCGCCAGTGTTTGTCCCTTCAGTTCCACGTGACGATGCAGAGATATCGATCCCTGTTGCCGAAGCACAAGGTGTTGTGAGATGGTCCAAGGCTACATCTCTAATTCCTTGGCCTATCGCACAGAACAGAGCATTGGCAAGAGCTTTGGAGTCATGGAGGATCATAGTGATGGACAATTTGTCTGGTTCCATGGTTGGAAGGCAGATCGAAGAAGCTCTAAGGGGCGATCCGGACTCAAAGACAATTGAGCAGTCCGTTAGTGACGCCTTGAGTGGGAAGTCAGTGGCGACACTTCGTGCCAGAGCGTCTTCACTTTTGGCTTTTGCGAGGTGGAAGAAAGTGCTTGTTACAGATGCCAGGATTTTTCCTATTACAGAGCATGAAGCTTACATGTATGTCACTGAATTGAGGGAGCACAATGCCCCGAGGACAAAGGCTACGAGGTTTTTGGAAGCTGTGTCTTTCGCTTTTCATATGCTTGGAGCTGATGTTGGCCATACTATTAGGTCGCCACGAGTGAAAGGTGCTTCAACTGTGCCGCTGGTCATTCCAAAGAAGAAGATTCCCTTGACTGTTGCCCAGGTTTGCTTTTTGGAACATTTAGCAATGGAAGGGTCTGCTCAGGAGTCGGTTTTTGCTGGATACCTCTGCATGGTCTTGCATATGAGGCTTCGTTGGTCCGATGGACAGTTTTGCCAGCATGAACCTGCGACAGACCTGCATCAAGGAAAGGGATTTTTGGAATGCCAGCTGTACCACCACAAGAACGCTGGAAGACAGAAACATGCAAAAAGACTATTGCCTGCGGCTTGCAATTTGCCTGGACTTTCAGGCTATGACTGGGCCTCTCCGTGGTTACAACTTAGGAGTGAACAGGGCCTGACGGCTGGGCCTGGAGTCCCAACTATGCCGGCCCCACTTGCAGCAGGTGGCTGGGCCCTGATCCCCTTGGAGCCGAGTCAGGCCACGACGTGGCTACGAGAGATCCTGAACAACTTCGAGCCCGTGCCATCGCTGACAGACATTGGCACTCACTCATTGAAGGCAACATGGCTTAGCATGATGGCGAAGGCAGGCTGTGAAGGCGATTTGAGACGCCTTGCTGGTTACCATACTGATCCTGGGTCCAAGATGGCTTTGGAGTACAGTCGTGATGCTCAAGCCCCAGTGCTGTTGGCCCTTGAAGCCATCACTGCGGCGATACAACATGGGCTGTTCAACCCCGATGTGTCAAGAGCTAAGCGTTGGCCTAGAGAGGGTTGCAATTCACTACAGTCAGTCATGATGTGGCTTGCAAGTGCAAATGCAGAAGAGTTTTGGTATCAGCATGAAAATTGTGAAGTTGACACGGCACATTTTGAACCTGCCGATGTAGAGGGTTTCGAATTTGTGCGACCACCGTCTGAACCTTATTCACCTTCAGTTGCATCAAATGAAAATTTTGAAGCTGAGTCAATTTCATCGGTCAGTGATGTCAGCGACAGACCTGTGCTGGGCAGAGACTATGCAACTTCGGATGAGGAGCGTGATGCAGAGGTCGCAGCTCCCATAGTCGGTGAGGGTTTAGCGCAGTCCTTAGAGCCGTCCATCAGTGCAGTTGTTTTCAGACATGTTCATAGTGGTTGCTGTCATGTCGCAAGAGACTCAGCATGTGACCCAGACGATGGTGAATCAACTGTCCTTAAGTGCGGGAAGATTGCGTCACGAAACTTTGAGCAGATCCAAGCAGCAGGGAACTTCTTCCCGTACAAATGCACTAGGTGTTTTGCTGGGAGCTGAGTCGACCAACATTTGTTCAGTGATGTCTGACTTTTGCACTTTCTGTTTTTCTTGTGTGGTTGGTTTTACGTGAAACAATGGTGCATCGATGGACAGTGAAACCCATGTTCACCTGGCGCGAAAGACGCAACCCAGTTCCGAACTCAGTTAGTGTCGCTTGGGGTGTCCAATTGGCATTGAAGGTGTTGTCCAACTTTGCAACTTTGTTTCCAACCACATTTGCAGCTTCATTAATCTCTGTTTTCAACCACCATGTTTCAATGATGCGGCATGTACTGATTGGACAGAAGTGTTCTGGAGAGAGCACGTTTCACGGAAGTCGTGGGCTCAGACTGGATTCAATCTAGGCATGTGCATTGTTGTTCAGTGTGTCGTGGGGTTGAAAGTGAAATTCACTGGAATAAAAAGTTTTGTTGTTTCAAACTCAGTCAAACTTTTTCAAACAGACATCCAGTCAACATGAATGCACGTCCACGACATGTTGTGGCATCCTGTCACCTGGACAGAAGGGATGATGGACACGCTGTTGCAAACCGCAGCACCGGATGTCGGTCGTGGCCTGCAGTGTCAATGTTTGCACTCAGTTGTTTTGGACGTGTGTTGCAGCTGTTTGTCTTGAATGTTGTTCATGATCAGTCAGATTTTTTTTCAATGATTTCCAAGTTCCAGATGCGCAGTGCCATGCTTTTGAATATAAGTAGTGGGCTGACGGGGCTCACTAATTCAGAGCGACACTCTTGAAGAAGCACAAGAGGGGCAAAAGGGTTTGAAGCTGTGGGCGAAGGGAAGCGCTCACTCTTGCGCACGGAGTGAGCATATCAATTTTTTTGTGAGGCGTCAATCACCACCAGTGCAAGCCGTGGCCAGAGGGCCATGAGTGTGATTTGATGTTCATGTGACTTCAGGCTCCAGATGACGGAATGCTGTCATGGACTAGGAGAATCCTTTTTGCAGGTTGTTGCATTCGTCACATGTTCAAGGGTTCAAAAGTGCAGATGTTTGGCATGACAATTTTGCTTTGATTTTTTTTTTGTCACCCCTGAGACCTCCTCCGCAACGGGACTGGCGCAGCCATGTCTTTGGTGGACAGTACACCTGTGTTCGAAGCAAGGGCTAGGGCTATTGGCATCGATGACCAGGTCATCACCCAAATGGGATTGCGTGGATGGGTGTCACATGCAACTTATGCTTTCTCAGTTGCAACGACGCCGGGTGGAGATGAACAGATCTTTGCAGACGGTGTCATCACACCATTGCTTGGGAACGCTGACCATAGAGACGCTCCAAAGCTTAGGAGATTGTTCTTCGAAGCCCACACCTTGACCGCTGCCGAGATGAAACGCAAGGTGGACTCGACAGAGCAGGAGGCGCCCAGGAAACTTCCTGCGCCCGAAATAGCCCAAAGGATCGAGTTGCTGCAGGCCAGAATTCACCCGTTGATTGTGGCCAACTTTCTGGAACCGTCACATCACTTGATCAATTCGTTGGTGCAGTGCGTGGAGGATGGCAGAGTGAGGTACATTGAATGGGCGCGTTGCACATCGCGCACACAAGAGGTAAACAATGTGAAGGAAGACAATGACTTGAAGATATGGAAAGCTGACAGCTCAGGTGCTATCAGGGCCACGAACAAAGACCCTGCTTTGGCCGCAGTCTTGAACACAGCTCGATGTGCACCACGCACTGAGACGATGTGGAGTGGCATATGAGATCGCTCAGGCGATGACGTTTGAGGTGCACGAATCAATTATCAACTATTTCTTCTTCGAGCTGAAGAAAGAGCCCATGGAAGGTTTTGCTCAGGTGACCTTGCAGCAGGTTGCAGCAGCTGACAGGGAGCTTCATGTCAGATTGGCTGAGGCCACACGTGCGGGTTTCCGCAACGGCCCGGCTGGAGAGTTGCCCCTTGACTTGCCAGCCAAAGCCATCTTGGAGGGCCCTGAATTGAAGTGGCTCGCCAAAGCGGCCTGTGGCAAAAACACATCATGGCGATGCCCCTGGAAAGACTTCACAGGATGCAGAACCCAAAAGGACCAAGGTGGAGCCAAACAAGAACAAACAAGAGGCACTCCGGATCAAAAAGTTGAAAAGGACGCCTATGCCGAAGAAGCTGGTCGGCTGTGTGCCTTGCAACGAGGACGGCCAGCCAATTTGTTTTGGGTTCAACCTGGGCACTTGCTCTCACTCAGGAGATTGTCCGAAGGGACTTCATACATGTTGCAAGAAGGGTTGCACGACATGCCTTTGTCACAGCCCATAAACCTGGCTCGTGACTAGCTGCAAGAGTTGCCTTGAAAGCAGATGGCAAAGAGGGCGATGAGGATCGCCTGGTGGCAGACTCACGAAAGCGTGTGTCAGCCGCCCTTTTTGAAGGCAGTGGATGCCTTGAGCAGACGTTGGTTGCAAAGCGAATGCGCTCTGCAACGGACACAACTGAGGCAAAAGAGCCTCGGTCTTTTTGTGACATCGCTGAGGAACAGTCGAGTCATACTGGACCTGCTGCCAATCAAGAAGTTGATGGTCGGGCAGGGTCGAATGCAACAACGCATTCAAAGCAACTTTTCCTTTTGGATTTATTTTGTGGTACAGCTGGCGTGGCTGCAGCGTTTAGAGCAATGGGTGGAGAGGCCCTGGGAATTGACCACATAATAGACAAGAGAAGGGTCAAAGGACCTGTAGCGAAAGTAGATTTGTCAAAGCAGGACGGCCAAGCTACAGTCTTGCAGTGGATAGAGGAGGACAAGGTGGACGCTGTGATGCTGGCACCGCCGTGTGGAACGGCGTCAAGAGCACGTGAAATTCCACTGCCCAAACGGCACAAGCTTAGGAAAGGGATGCAACCAGTTCCGCTCAGATCTGAAGCTGAGCCAATGGGTTTGTCTAGTTTGCGCGGAGTTGCAAAAATCAAAGTTCTTGCTGCCAACAAGTTGTATGCGTTTGCAAGAAAGGTCATGGATCTCTGTGAGAGAAAAGGTATTCCGTTTATTTGTGAAAACCCCCGCCGGTCGCTCATGTGGATGACTGACCCTTTCCTCCAACTGCCTGGCACTTTTCGTTTTCAGCATGTCCACTCTTGCATGTATGGTGGAAAAAGAAAGAAGCGTACGTCCTTTTTGATGAACTTTCATGCTGCAAACTTGCTTTTGGAATGTGATGAAAGCCACCCACATTTGCCTTGGGGAATGGTGGCGCAGCCTGCTGGATCTGAAATGAAATTTTCAACAAGTCTGGAGACGGAATATCCTAGCGGTTTATGCCGCCAATTGGCCCTTGCGTTTATAGAGCAACTGCAAAGAGATGGAAAGAATTTGTCCCTCTCTTCCGGTCAAATTGAACAAGAACAGCGCATGGGCTCAGGTTTACAACCCCGAGGAGCCAGAGCTCCCTTGCTGGTGGGTGATTTCAAATTCAAAATCGACATCAAATCAACTGATGTCACCATTCCCGCGTCCATCGAGGACAATGTGCACGCTCCATTTCAGGGCCTCCCCTTGCACTCTAAGTTGATTTCTTCTCGAATGGTAACTGAAGTGGGGGAGAATGGCGAGAAGAAGGTTTTTTCCCTGTCGTCTTATGGTGTTTTTCGTTCACCCTGGGAGTTTTTGGACAAGGCCCTAACGTTAGAGCACCCTTTGGACAGCCCTCATACAGTGGACAAGAGCAACCTAAAGGCCATGGTGTTCATTAGGGACCACACTAAGGCGGAGGTGTTGAAATTCAGGGCCCAGCAGCTAAGAAGATATACAGAGAGAGCAGCCCAGCTCTCCAGTGAGGAGAACAAACTCAAGAACTCGCTGGATCCCGATGTCAGACGCGTGCTGGAGGGCAAACGACTGCTTCTATTCAAGGAGATGGCCGCAGATGCCAAGGTTGGTGATGAGAATCTCTTTACAGAGTTAATCGAAGGCTTCAAGTTGACAGGTCAGATGCCGGAGTCAAAGCAGTTCCCTGCGCGCCTCAAACCTGCCATGATTTCTGTGCAGCAGCTCAAAGACTCTTCAGTGTGGGCAAAGAAGATGATCCATGCGTCATGCAGACGAGTTGGTGCAGACCCTGAAATAGCCCGGGCTGTATATGAGGAAACCCTTCAGCAGAGGGCAGATGGCTGGGTGAAAGGGCCTTACACCTCCTCAGAATTGGACCAAAAGTTTGATGGTTGCTGGATCCCGTCGAAAAGGTTCGGGGTGAGACAAGGTGGAAAGATACGGGCGGTCGATGATTTTTCTGAATTTTTGGTGAACGCCTCTGTAACGGCGACAGAGAAACTGCAGTTGTTTGGACTAGACGAGGTTGTCAACACAGCGCGTACCTTCCTTGGTTGCGACTTCTTGATGATGGATGATGAACTTGACAACTTGTGGTGCTCCGAACGGGTCAGATTCTTCACAGGGCCCTGGCGAAAGATATTTGGAAGGGCGCTAGATCTGAAGAGTGCTTACAAGCAACTTGCCCGGCATCCAACTGACAGCTGGGCAGCCATCCTTGCGGTTTGGAATGATGATGCTGGCACAGTCGAATTTTACGAGTCAGTCGCCCTGCCGTTCGGGTCGGTATGCGCTGTGATGGCGTTTAATAGGATGGCAAAGGCATTAAGGCTGATTCTTTCAGAGCTTTTCATGGTGATCAACACAAATTTTTTCGACGATTTTTGTCAGCTTGAGTGCGAAGGTCTATGCGATTCAGCATGGGAGACAGCAGAGTTTGTGATGAAACTTTTGGGCTGGCGCATTTCCATGTCTGAAGATAAGCGCTCGCCTTTCGCTGGAGAATTTAACCTTCTTGGAGCGGTGGTTGACCTGACGCGGTCTACAGCTGGGCTTGTGGCGGTTCACAACAAACCGTCTCGAATTGCTGATTTGCAGAGCCTGGTTCAAAGCATTTGTCAAAGCGAGACAGTCGCGCTCTCGCTGCTCGAAACCTTGAAAGGCAGGCTGTTATATGCAGCGGGTCACACATTTGGGAGGTGTTCTCAGCTTGCAATACAACTTATTTCTCGAGTTGCCAGGAGAGGGCCACTGGTGGTACTCGATGAAAAACTCAAGGAAGTTATCAATGCGGCACTGCTTTGTTTGATGGATGCAAAACCACGTCATGTTTCTGCCTGGTCAGGAAGACCCCCGCTTATCATATTCACAGACGGAGCTTGTGAGGAAGACGGCCTGTGTGTGACTCATGGGGCTGCCTATTACGACCCTGAATCACATCAAGCCTTGATGTTTGGTGACTATGTACCAACTTGCTGGACAGACAAGTGGCGCACAGAAGGAAAGAAGCAGCTGATCTGTCAGGCTGAACTATTTCCGGTCCTTGTTGCAAAGAACACTTGGAGTCATTTGATATCAGGACGAGCTGTCCTCTGGTTCATTGGCAATAACTCTTCTCTTGCTGCAGTCATTCGCTCATATTCACCTGTGCTTGAAAACTACGAACTTTTGGTTATCAACGCGAGGTTGGACGTTGAGTTACAAGCAATGCACTGGTACACTCGAGTACCTTCCAAGTCGAATTTGAGCGATGACCCATCTCGTTTGCAATTCTCTGAACTCGAAGCAAAGGGCTTCAAACGCTGCTCACCACGCTACGATCTCACGAAATAATGAAGAGGGGTGGAAGGCGTGAGATGCGAAGGCGTCTTACGCAATCACGAAAGCGTGCCGACTCCCCAATTTATTGAAAGAATAAAAAGGTGAGATTTAATAAGACCGTGAGTGAGCTGTCGTTGTTCCACTTCAGTGATGTGATTTTTTTTATTGACGTGCTCGTTTTTTTTTAAAATATATACATATATATATATATGTGGTACTTGAGTGTACTATGTCATATATATATATATGTTTTTGTGTCTAAGTTTTTAATAAAGCGGAAATGCGCAAGAGCGTACGCGTAGGAGAGAGGTAGGCCAAGGTTTGATAACGGCTTGTCTAGGACTATGGCAATAAGCATTTCGCCTCCATCTTTTTTGATGATTGTCGACCGTCCGGCTTGCGTCCTATTTAAATTGCAAAGGCTTTGTTCTCACAAATGCACCTCTCCCATTCTTCTGTCGCTCTCAGAGCAAGTGATCCTGTCTGTGGCGGGGCCTTATTGACATCGGGGGTTCCCAGCGCGCGGAGAAATACACTGTCAGGCAACTGAGCGGTTGGTTTGCTGGCCGCGGCGCTGCACGACGCATGTCGCCGAGCGTGACTTCTGTTGAACTGGTCACTTTCTTAGCGATATCTGTTTCGTAGTTTGCTTACAGTTGGCCGATGTGGTGGCCACGTTTGGGTTCCATGTACCATCTGCTTTGTAGTTGAGTTCCACGAGATCTCGTTTCATGTCATATGCACTGAGGAGATCGTTTAGCTCTTGGAGTGTTGTAGTGCGGTGGACGCACCTTTGCTTGACTGCCCCATCGAGGTGTAATGGCCATCCAACTGGCATCTGAGAGTCTTCAAGGAGTCCATCTCCGTTTTGCTCGATGACGGTTCCCAAAAGTGGAACATCAATGGTAGATTTGAGACTGATGTGTGGCCGATTGCACTGCCACGTCTCAGCTGCCAGGAGTCCGCGACTTGCAACTTCTGCTAAGGCTTCAATGTTGGGCTGTTCTCGGAGAGGAAGGGCATCTTCTTTAATGATAAGCCGTAGTCCGTGCATGGGCTCAAGGGTGTTGGATGAGCCATCCGCAGAGGCTCTAGCAACCGTTTCATCTTCGAACCATGTGAGGCGAAGGAATTTTACTCCCATTGCACTCTTTGAATCTGTAACTCTTATGTATATTCTCGGCGAAGGCTATGGTACATCGGGGGACCATCCACGCTGGGATAAAAACATTGATATAGAGACAAGAGACAAGAGGAGACAAGACCCTCGGAAAGGCGGACACGCCATCTAAGACAGGCACACATGTGGGGAGACAGTGGGAGACAAGAGCAGAGAAGGCGAGAGAAGACGATCGGAGAGGGAGACACACCATCCAACAAAGGCACACATGTGGGGAGAACAGTGGGAGACAGTGGGAGACAAGGGGAAAAGGGGAGACAAGGCCCTTGCGAAGGAAGGCGGACACACTATCCCACCAAGGCGGGCACGTTAGAAAGCATCAAGAACCCTTAACAGCACACTGTTTGGTAAAAATAGCAGGGATAGAGTGCATCCAGCTTGAAAAAGTTGGTTGAAAGGGATTGAAAGTCGCACTGGGAGAATAAAAGGAATCAAGCAGAAAACAACCCGGAGAGCGGCGAGCGAGACTTCTTCCACGTGACTGTTAGATACCAAGTTTGTGGAAGTTTCCTAGATGTTGATCTATTTTGCACCGCGGAGGATGATGAGGATGATGTTGGTTGTCGTGATGTAAGGTCAGATACATTAACTTTTTTCAAAGCCTCGTAAACAATGCTTTTCTTGCTCCAAGAGACGCGGTGAACGTAGGGGGTACGAGTGGCCAACGGACGTGGTGACGAACGCAAGGCGAACGAGTGAACGGACGTGCGCGTACCTCGATCTTATTTTCGTACGTGCGCGCGCGTGGCGAGTGACCGTGCAACATACGCTCACACTTTCGCTCGCATGTACGCTCACTCACACATACATACGTTCGCACGTTCATTCGCACGCATGTCGTTCACACACACGTTCATACCCCCGTTCATGTCACTCGTCACTACATGTGCGCCAGACAACAAAAATATTTTTACGAGACTTAAAAAAAGCTAACATATACATTTGAAGATGTAGGTGATGTAGAGGATGTAGTGATATAGAATGTAGATGATGATGTAGGTCATGTATGCTTTGTAGATGATGTGTGTCATGTAGATGAGGTTGATGGAAAAAGATTGCGCAGGTGATGTAGATGGTGTAGGTGAGATAGATGATGATGATGATGGTGGTGGTGGTGATGATGATGATAATGATGATGATGTAGGGAAGACGGTGCAGAAGATGTAGGTGATGTGGGTGATGTGGGTGATGTAGAGGATGTAGTGATGTAGATGATGATGTAGGTAATGTATGTGTTGTAGATAAAGCATGTCACATAGATGACGTTGATGGAAAAATGTGTAGGTGGCGTAGATAAGGTAGGTGAGACAGATGTAGGTGATGATGATGATGATGGTGTAGATGTAGATGTAGATGTAGATGTGGATCTAGAGAAGATGGTGTAGAAATGGTATAGAAGATGTAGGTGATGTAAAGGACATAAAGAAACGTGGATGATGTATGTTAGGTAGATGAAGTGAAGAGTGAGGTGGACAGCAGTTCTTCGGGAATATTGGCCACAGTATTGCAAACGCTTCTGGAAAAGCGGTTTTTCATCAAGTGTTTGTGCTGTGATTGCGCCTTGCACGCCCGACCTCTAGAGTAAGAAGGGCGGGGCAATAAGCATACTTCACTCATTGAGAGTTTGGCAACTGTTTTTGTTTCTGGCTGTTGGGGATATTTTTGGGCTTATTTTTTCAAAGGGTGTTCGTTCGTATTCTCTTCTCTTCCTACCCTTGCTGGATTGCCATCAGGTATCAGCTGCAGAAACACATACATAGAATATGGATGAACATGGTACATTTGTCAATAATTGCCTGAAATTTGGCAACTCGTGGGAGGGGGGTCCCTTTTGTGAAGTTCGAACTGCATTCTTGTAATGCAAAGTGTAGTGAACAAGATGCAGCCCACGAACCCGAATGCTCACACGCATGTTAATGGTACAGATGTCGAAACACATGGATATGCAGTCACGTACAACACTTTTGTGAAACAGTTTATTTGAACAGTCTTGTACATTTTGCCCCTGTTACCATACCAGTGAACCGTAGACCGTGGAATATGGAAAAAGGTGGCGTGCTAAGTGTGGAGTGTGGAGTGTAGAGTCTGGAGTGGAAAGTATGCAGTGTAAAAGGTCCAGTGTGAAGTGAGTGTAAAGTGTGGAGTGTGGAGTGTGGAGCGCAGAGTGTTGAGGGTAAAGTATAGAGTGTAAAGTGTGGAGTGTAAAGTGTGGAGTGTAAAGGGTAAAGTGTGGGGTGCAAAGTGCAGAGTGTGGAGTGTAAAGTGCAGAGTGTAGAGTGTATATACAATTAAAAGTGTGGAGTGTACAGTGGGAAGTGCAAAGTGTGGAGTGTAGAGTGTGGAGTGTAGAGTGTGACGTGTAAAGTGTGGAGTGCGAAATGTGGAGTGTGGAGTGTAGAGTGTGGAGTGTTGTGGAGTGTGGAGTGTAGAGTGTTGAGTGTACAGTGTACAGTGTGGAGTGTAGAGTGTGGAGTGTAGAGTGTGACGTGTAAAGTGTAGAGTGTAGAGTGTAAAGTGTGGAGTGTGGAGTGTGGAGTGTAGAGTGTGGAGTGTAGAGTGTAGGGTGTGCAGTGTGAAGTGTGGAGTGTGGAGTGTAAAGTGTTGAGCGTGGAGTGTAAAGTGTAAAGTGTGGAGTGTGGAGTGTAGAGTGTGGAGTGTAAGGTGTGGAGTGTAGAGTGTTGAGTTTACAGTGTAAAGTGTGGAGTCTAGAGTGTGGAGTGTAGAGTGTGACATGTAAAGTGTAGAGTGTAGAGTGCAGAGTGTAAAGTGTGGAGTGTGGAGTGTAGAGTGTTGAGTGTGGAGTGCAGAATGTAGAGTGTGGAGTGTAAAGTGTGGAGTGTGGAGTGTAAAGTGTTGAGTGTGGGGTCTAAAGTGTAAAGTGTGGAGTGTAAAGTGTAAAGTGTGGAGTGTGGAGTGTAAAGTGTAAAGTGTCGAGTGTGTAAAGTGTAGAGTGTGGAGTGTAAAGTGTAAAGTGTGACTGCACGAAAATTTTGCGCTTGCCACACAAAACGATTTTCGACACGTTCTGAAACAGGTTGGAATGTCACAAAGTGTCAGGCCGGCCACGCAAAACAACATTACAACCTGCTTTGACACCTTCAAAAAGGAAACGTTTTGCAGCTTCCCCCATAGACACCACGAGGCCACAGGAAAACCAGAGACTCGAGACGGAACATGTTGGAGCATCAAAACCAGCAGTTCGTGCGAGACTTCCTCCAATGTTCACACTGTGTAGCTTCAAAATCGATGTTTTCCTACGAGTTTTCCTTGACCCGAAAGTTTGCAACTTCAAAATCGATGTTTCCTGCGAGGCTTCCGTCAATTTTCATCACATCTCACAAAATGCCACGCCTGCCACGGAATTTGCACCTTGTCGCCACTTGATGCAGCCCTGACAATGCGATTCGCAAAAAACACGCAACACGACACGTCTAAAGCGCCGCGCTTGCCACGCAAAATGACGATAGACACGTCCAAAGTGCTGCGCGTGCCACGAAAACTGCAACGCATCTTCCGAAAACGTCGCAAAAATTTTGTGCCTGCCACACAAAACGATTTTCGACACGTTACGAAACACGTCTGAATGTCACGAAGTGTCACGCCTGCGATGCGAAACGAAGCAACGCCACATGTGAAACCTCCAAAAGTGACCCTTTTGCAGAACTTAAAATAGGCACGGCCATACGGAGCTCGCGCGGCCGCGGACGGTTGTGAACGGTTGCGGACGGTTGCGAACATAAACGCAGCGTCGAGCGAACACACCTTCAAGCCCCAGCCCCCCTAGTGGAACCGGAACCCTTGCTACGCATTCGGGAAAAAAATTGTCAATTCG